GGTAAAAGGGTCCAAAACGACGCCATTTTGGGACCCTAGGATTCGCACATGCACTCGTAGCCCAACCTAAGGCTTATGCACCTAACCCAGTGACCTAGCACCCCTCAGCCCCCATTGGTCTAGTTGAGCCAATTCTAAATCATTAAATCACCCTTGACTAGTCCAACTGAAATGACATTGACTAAATCGTTGAACAGTCTGATTCAGGTAAATTTTTTTTTCAAATTTTTTGAATTTTTTATATATATTATTTTTGTTATTTTGAGTTTTATTATTAATATTTATGCATGTTAAAATTTTTAAATTTGTTAAGATAACTATTTGTTGTTTTTATATAATAATAATAATAATGATGATGATGATGATGAAAACAATAAAAAGTAAAGGTAAATAATGAAAAATATAGTTTAAATTTTTTATAATATAAAATAAACCTTATAAAACAATATAATAAAAATAAATAATGATAATAATAATAATAAAATGATTTCTAATTTTGATAATTTTTAAATTTTAAAAAATAAGAAAAATAATAAAAAATAACACCAAATAATTAAAAAGTGTAAGAAGATAAATTTTATCCGATGATGAGATTTAAAGGTACTTCAAGTAGTGATACCTAAAAATCTCTAGGTAAAATTTTTTTTTTTTAAATATTACTAACATATTGGAGCATTTTTAAAAAGTTTTCAATATAATAAAAATTCTCCTTTTTTATAATAATAAAAATAAAAATTAATTAATTTGTTATAAACGAAATAATAAAAAAATGAATGAATGAGAAAAAAGGAAATTTTATTCAAGGACGGGATTCTAAAAGTGTTCTAAGTAGTGATGCTTTACAAAATCCCTAGGTAAGAAAACTTTTTAAAATATTACCAATGTATTAGAATATTTATAGAAAATCTTCAATGTGATAAAAATTTCTCTTGTCTTCAATAAAAAATAATAAAATAAAAAAACCAATAAAATTTCCAAAGAAAAAATAAAAGGTGTGCATCAACATATTATCATTCGCATTGCATGCCTATTTTAATGAAAAGTAAATTCAACCTTCCAAGGATGATATTCTAAGGTATTTCAAGAAGCAATGCCTAAAAAATCTCTAGGTGAGAAAGAGTTCTTCTAATATTATCAATGTACTAGAACATTTTTAGAATTATTTCAATAAAAAGATTCTAATTTATTTTTCTCGAACAAAAATGGAACAATAAATATGAAACATAGATAAATGCAAAAACCAAAACTACGATAAACAAAAGAAGTCAAGAAAATTATTTTTTAAACACCGAAACTAGACTATTTTTGTTAGGATTAATGGATAACATGTAATTAATTTGTACCGTTTTAAAAGGGTATTGTAAGAGTACTGATCCTTCCCCATGCATAATTGACTCCCACACTTAGATTGTTTCGTAGACCCGAAAATTATATTTTTTTAATAAATTTTAATTAATTTTAAAATTTTATTAAAAAACTTTTAATAGGTGGCCAATCACACCTAGCTAAAAAAATATTGGTGGCAATTCCATTTTCCATTTTTTTTTCATTTTCAAATTCATTAGACGACTCCAAAACTTTATGAAAAATATGATTTATAATTTATTTTATGACATATAAAATTATTATCAATTTCAACAAATGGAAAATGATATATAAAATCGCTACTAATGGAAAACCAAAACAAAGTGCAACCTTACTATTACAATTTATTAAATGCTGAGCTAGCAAAATTTTAGGTAACTAATCCTAACGCTATTCAACATTAATCCAATATAAATTATCTTTGATATTTGTGATCTGTTTTGACTTTGAATGGAAAACCTCTTTTCATCATAGATTTTTTGTGAAAAAAAAACCGATCTTGATTTAATCAATGGATTAAAAATTTAAGGGGAGAAAAGTGAAAATATTATAAATATATATTTTTTAATGTGTGTTTGATAAGAAAATTAGAAAAATAGATAAAATATGTATTTTTTTATTTATTATTTGATAAATTTAATATGTAAGCTAAATAGAGATAGAATGACAAGAAAAAGTTAAAAGTTGAATTTATTTCAAATAAGATTTGAAGCTTTGATTCTTATAACATTTTGTTTAATATTTTCGAATCAAGTTATTTGTTAGTTAAAATGAATTTATAACTTAAAATCCATATTGAATTTCAGAATATAAATAAATGGACTGGCAATTTTTAATCCAACTATTAATTTTAACATTGAAATAAATGTTGTGGTTGAAATTTACACCACTCGCAACTTAGTTGCCCTACCCTAGTTAACCGTCTTTCTCCTTTACAACATATAAAAAAGAAAAAACGTAAGAAAGGAAAAGAAAAGAAAAAGTAAAAACATTTCAATCGATGCCAATGTCAATTGCAAGAAGACTTTGGAAGTCTTTGTTCCTCCTAAAAAGAAGTAGATCAAGTCTACTTCAAAAAACAACATCTATTAGTTTAAACATTTCAATAGTTTAACCAAAACTACTTAACCACAATACATTTAATTCATGATTTCAAGACCCCCAGGAATCGCACACAGCCCGATCTTCAGAATAAATACAAGCTGAAAGTGAGTTGTCAATTTTTAATTGAATTGTCTCTTTGTTGGAACCAAAAATGCCATAAATTAAAAGATTTGATTATATATTAATGAGCAAAATGTGAAAATTTTTAAATAAAATTGTTATATTTTTTAAATAGGTATTTTTATTAGAAATTTTAACATAATTTTTATTATTAAATAAGTATTAATCAAATTTGAATTATAAATATCATTTTCAATAATTATTGTATATATTATTATTTTTCCTTTGAACTTCATCAATCCATTGATTTTAATTTTTTTTATTAATGTTATTATTAGATTATTTTTAACAAAAAACCTTTACAAGCTTTACTTAAAAAACTTTGTTTATATGTTACGTACAGTGCAATACCGTATAAACCATGCATGTGGGAAAAAAAGGCCAATATTTTTCTTCCTGCAGTAGACAGAAATGCAAGGAAGTAATAAATTAAGGATTATCATTTTATACATCAATTATAATTTTATATATTGACAATGAAATTTTTAAAATTTAAAAACAAGATAAGGGAGTTGGCACGAATTTATTTAATTTTAATAATTAATTTTTTAATTTAATAAATATATTTTAGTGGAATACTTGTCAACACTCTAATTCTACTATCATTATGTAGAATAATTTTTAATTTAATAAATATATTAATTTACAAATTTTAAATAGGTATTTTTACTAAAAAATATCTAGTTTTTTTGTTGTTTTTATTTTGAGAATGTGAAGTTTGTTGGTAAATGAAAAAAATAGGTAAGTTGGAGGCTTATAAGTGTTTTGATGAAGGTTTTGGATTTAGAAGTAAAAAAATCGGTTTATACGTGTGTGTGTGTGTGTGTGTGTATTGATTAAAACTAATTAATTTGTTTTTGCGTCACCTTTCTCCCTTTGTATTTACATTGCAAATAGAACTCCAATTAGGAGCATATATCCAATAGGGTTTAGGAAATTGCTATAAGCGGCAATTAGTTAATTATTTTTGTTTCTCAAATTAAATATTTATTTCATTTTCCTATGAAGGAGCATTATTTGTATACATATAAGTAATTGTAATCAATTTAATTAATAGAGAAGTATTATAATGTCAATGTCTTTGAACAGTAAGTATGAATTAAATATGCATATATAATAATTTATGGATAGGAATTAACTTACATTAATGTAAAACTAAAAAGTTTTATAGATTTTTACTCAAAATTTTAGTTTGGGAATAAATGTTTTGTATTTTTGTTAATACTTATGTTTTGTATTTTATTGGCTATATCTTATTATTGGAAAATTTAGGTTAAATTTAATTATAGTCAAACCCCGTCTATAATTAAATATAAAAAATGACAAATATTTAGTGATGATAAACCTTGAATTTTTCATATAGGCCTCCATCCTTCGATTATATCCAATTAAGTCCTTAAAAAATTATTTTTGTCTAATTAAATCTTTAAAGTACAGTTTTGTTCCATTAAACTCTTTTTTTAGATGAAAATTGCAAAAAAAAAAAAAAATCTTGCCAAATCAACATATATGTCGTGGTTCTTTCTATGAAGCCTACATCTACATAGCATATATTTGAAAATCAAAAAGCTCTTTAGATGCTAATGTGACCTACTATATTAGTCATTCATTGCATACCACATAAACGACAACTCAACTTAAAGTTTTATATTTTGCATTCGGACATTGATTTAACAATGAGAATTATTACATTAAATTTTTATATTTTGCAATGTGCACATTGATTTAACAAAGACAATTATTATTGTTGACATGGAAAAAATAACGAATTTTAGTGATTTTCATATAGAATAAGATTTAATTAAATAAGAATAATGTTTTACACTTTCAATTGGATAAAAAATAAAGATAAAAATTTATTTGAGAAATTTGAGAAAAGTACAATATTTTTTTAGCATTTTAGTATAAAAAAGTACAAGTTAAAGATATATTCTTCAAAATCATCACTCAAATTTATTTCAAGTGTACTCAATACAATTAAAATTTGAAAGATATAAAAGGTAGAGAATGAAGAAAGGTTAGAAAGATGAAATTGGGAAAAATAATATGTATGAGTGTGTATAAGAACAAATGGCGAGTAAATAGTAAAATCAAAAGGTTATTGTGTAAAATTGTGTTTATTGTAATTTTGTGTACTCACCAATTGTATTCTTTGTTTCTTTTTAGCATTCCAAAACGAAAGCACTATAGTAGAATATTATGTTTGACATCGAAAGTTTGAATTTTACGTCTGGCACTGATATATTTCAGAAATAGAAAATCCTGAACATAAAATTTGAGTGCTTAAACACAACTGTTCTATATCACAGCTGATTCACTACAAAGGCTTTATCATTAGAGTGTTTAAACATTTTCAATACAAAGCAGAAAAAAAGAAATAGATTGAAAGCAAATGCATGTGCCCAGAATTATTAGCCATTGCAGACTCCATGATCCCACACTTCTCCCAATTTTATGATTGAGAAAGGATTGGGCAATGGAAGTGATTGATGGCTAAGGGCTTGAGCAACCTGTTGCATGGTTGGCGGAAGTTGGGGGTTGCCATTCAAGCATGCAAATGCTAGCTTTGCAGTAGAGACAACATCCTCTGCAACTTGCCTTACCGGTGGTGAGAGACGTTGGTCTATCACATCTTTAAGTAAAATCTGTTGGTTGTTATTTGGTACTGATGTCGACGTTGATGCCGACGATGACAAACATGAAATCAAATCACCAGGATGCTTTCCCATAAATATTTCCATTGTTAGCACTCCAAAACTGTAAACGTCAAATTTCTCGTCTATTTTCATTGTATAAGCCAACTCTACATAAACAAAAAAAAAAAAAACTCAAATCTAATCATTATAATTTATTAAGCACAAATAACAAGCTAGAAATAATTAGGAAGTATAAAGCTTAGAATATTATATATTAACATATTATTAGCATCAATATATGAAGTTTTATGGTTAGAAAAAGAAAGAGAGAATGAAAAAAAAGTTATCATAGCATGCATTCTTTTTCAATTTCAACCAAAATTAACGACTTTCAAAAGAGTTTCAGATAGAAATATATATATATATATATATTACAAAAGAAGTTGTAACATAAAAATAGGATAAAAGATTATAGATACCGATGCTATCACTTACAAATAGTTATATAAACTAATTAAGTTAAATATTGAATTCAGAAATATTAGTCTTTGATAAAAAAATATTAATACTATAAATTAAGGAGTATCAAATTTTTATTATTAAGACATTTATATATTGAAATATATTATATTTCCAAAACTTAATTTAAATAAAGAATTAAACAATTAAATCACTTGTCAGTATTTCAAAATTAACATATAGTAGTAAATATATGATACCTGGAGCTATGTATCCAAAAGTGCCTGCAAATGTGGTCCAATTTGAGGAGTCAGGCTTTAAAAGCCTAGCTATGCCAAAATCCGAGACATGAGCCTCATAATCCAAATCCAAGAGAACGTTATTGCTGGAAATGTCTCGATGAATTATGGGTGGTGAATGGTCGTGATGCATGTAAGACAAAGCATTGGCCAATCCCTTAACAACATTTAGCCTCTTCTTCCAATCCAACTCCTCTGCATTTTCATTGTTTCTCAAGACCATTCTCAAACTTCCTCTTTCAACAAACTCATAAACCAAAAATGAGTGCCTTGGATGTGAACAAAATCCATACAGCTTCACAATGTTACGATCCCTTATTTCTGATAAAGCACGAATCTCGCTTTCAAAGGCTTTCAAGATGTTGATAAGCATGCTATCTTCGGATTGGTGAAGTTTCTTGACAGCAACTACCTGACCAGTTTGTAACACAGCTTTATAAACAGTTCCATATCCTCCTGAACCAATGCAATAATTGGAGTTGAAATTTTCAAGGGCTTCAATAATGTTTTCATGGATTATTCTTCCATTAGATCCCCATGCGGTGAAAATATCTCCATGCTGTGCCTCCCTTGACTCATCAGATTTTCTGGTTCGATTCTTTTTGCTAAGAATAAGGAAACTTAGAGCCGTGATAAATAGCAAAAGCAGAATACCAAAGAGTGGAATCACAATCAAAATGATGAGTCTGGTTCTTTTTCTATGATCCTTTTTGTTGCTAGTGATAGGAACACAAGGCACTAATCCAGTGGCGTTACCACATAGGCCTTTGTTGTTTCTTAAGGCATCAAATGGAGCCATATGAAATGCCTTAATGTTGGGAATAGGGCCTTCCAATTGATTGTAAGAGATATTCACAACCGTCAAGCTTTGCAAATCATTAAAAGAATTTGGGATGGAACCATTGAGCATATTGTGAGAAAGGTCTAATATTTCCAAGGAATGTAATTTTGCAAGCTCTTGTGGTATCTCCCCAATAAGTAAATTCTGACTTAAATCTAGATTTTGAAGACCATTTATGTAGCTTACAGGAAATGGAATGCTTTCTCCAAGTTTATTCTTGCTCAAATTCAGCTCAATAACTTTGAGCACTCTCCAAGTTGATTAGGAATTGATCCACTTAAATTGTTTAATGCCAAGTTAAGATGCTGTAGTTTTGAAAGAAATCCAATCTCTGGTGGAATTTTGCCTGAAAGTTTGTTACCACTTAGCAAAAGATTGAACATCAATGTCAATGCTCCCAATTCCTTGGGAATCTCACCATTGAGAAGATTTGAAGAGACATCCAATTCCTGTAATTGAGTTGCATGTTTCAACTCAGGTGGTATCTTTCCAGAAATGTTATTATTGGAGATTCGTAGGCTTGTTAGATTATGGCATTGCCCCCAGTTTGGCGAAAGTTCACCATAAAATTTGTTGTTGCTTAATGCAATATAATTCAAATTAGGATATATACCAAAAGCTTCTGATATATTTCCTGTCAACTGGTTTCCTTCAAGCCTAACTCTTTTCAAGCTTTTGCAGTTTCCTAAACTTGATGGGATCGGACCGTCAAATTGTTGTTGTTAGCCCCAAGATATACGAGTTGTCCACCGAGGCATACATTCTCAGGTAATGGACCACTAAGATGGTTGTCTGATAATTGTAATGATTCCAAATGAGTAACATTGCTAAGTGTTGGAGGAAGGAAGCCAGACAAATTATTCTGAGATATAAAAAGTATGGTAAGATGTACAAGCATCCCTACCTCTTGAGGTATTGACCCGGAAAGCTTATTTTCAAAAAGGTAAAGTCTAGACAATTTGGTTAAGTTTCCTATGAAAGCGGGGATTGAACCAGAGAAATTATTTTGACTCAACGCAAAGTTAGTGAGAGATTTAAGCATCCCTATCTCTTGAGGTATCGACCCAGAAAACATATTTTGATCAAGGTAGAGAGTGGATAGACTAGTCAAGTTTCCTATGGAAGCAGGGATTGAACCAAAGAAATTATTATGACTCAACTCAAAGTCAGTGAGAGATTTAAGCATCCCTATCTCTTGAGGTATTGACCCAGAAAACATATTATGGTGAGGGTAGAGAATGGATAAACTGGTCAAGTTTCTTATGAAAGCAGGGATTGAACCAGAGAAATTATTATGACTCAACTGAAAGTCAGTGAGAGATTTAAGCATCCCTATTTCTTGAGGTATCGATCCAGAAAACATATTTCTATAGAGGTGGAGAACAGATAAGTAGGTCAAGTTTCCTATGGAAGCGGGGATAGAACCACGTAGATAGTTATCAAAGAAATAATCTCGGAAAGTGAACTCATTCTCCCTATCTCTAATGGAATGGAACCACTGATCTCATTACTTGCTAAGGAAATCAACTCAAGACCTTTCAATAAGCAAATTTCGGATGGAATATTCCCCAAAAAGTTATTGTATGACAAGTTAAGGAAGGTGAGTTTGGAAAGGTTCCCAATGTGTGAGGGAATGGGCCCATACAGTGAGTTGTTGCGAAGGTTAAGCCTCATCAGGTTAGGGAAGAAAAGAAAGTTAAGACTATGAAGTGTACCTTTCAACCCATAATCTGGGAGGCTTAGATTGGTGATGCTTTCAGCCTTGTCGCAGCTAATACCAACCCAACTGCAATGGCTGTCTCCAGCACACAAAGAAGAGAGCAAAGTTCGGGTGTCGTTGTCAAGGCTAGCTTTCCATTTTAGAAGAGCTTCCGCTTCTTTACCTCTTGTAAGTGCAGCAATGGAGGATGAAGAAGCAAAAACTGAGGAAGAGTGAAGCAGGGCAAGTATGAGGAAGAACATGACTTTGAATGGAATTAAGAAAGATGACATGATTTGGATAGTTCAAAAAGGATCTTTTGTTAATTGTTCTAAATTACATTGGCTAGCATGGTCAGGTATTTATGCAAAATACAAGGCCATTTTAGTCACTACGAAATGTTAAGTGGAAAAATATAATTTCATGACCAATGGATCTTTATGTTTAAATTAATTTTATTAGATGATGACTATTCGTCTTCTACGTTTAAAAGACAATCTTAGCGTTGGTTTGCACTTATTATTAATCAAATGTTAAAAAAAATCATGATAATTATTTTAAATGAAAATTATATCTTATACATCAATCAAATTTTAAATTCTATAAATGAGTTTATAAGATTACTACAAACAATTAGATCACAAATAAAAAATTAAGTAAAGAAATTAACGAATTAAATATTTTATATAAAAATTTTTAATTTTATAAATAAAATTAAAAAAATTGGCATATGTTTTTTAAGAATATAACTATAAAAATTAATGAATTGATTAATTGTTATACAAATATATGCATACAAATCTAAAAAAAATCATTTATAAAAATGTAAAAAAAATAAAAAATATCATTTATAATTCAATTTTGATTGATATTTATTTATCGGTAAAAATATCAATCTAAAAAAATTTCAAATTTGACTTATAAGTTTGTAAGTCAATAAAAATTGATGGTTAAATTAGATTATTTCAGGTTTAAATTTTAAAATTTAAAGAGTTCAAAATTTAAGTCATTTTCTAGATTCAATATTATCTAGAAGAGTTAAAATTCTACAAGGATTTACATAAAAACATACTCTCTAAACAAATCATATTCTTAGAACTTATTCTATCATATTCTTTGAACTAATCAAATATATTAATACTAATTCCTCCTTTGTTCTATTATAATAATCAAACTTCATAATACATGTTATATTCTATTCCTTTTATATTTTATTCTCACGAAATACAAATTTCATTCCTCCTTTTATTTCATTTTACAAACCAAACATGTTGTAAGTTCTTAGACTTTTGACAATCCATAACTTAAGGTATGAACTAATCTCATGTTTGAAAACCATATGCATACCAATTATGATGTTCACAACAAATAGATTCGATTTTGGATTCAGTTTTCCATGTTTAATTTTCACTGCTTGTTATGTTCATACATGTTTGTTTGTGTGACAAATATTGTCAAATCGCTACAATTTTAAATGGTTAATTTAAACTATTTAAATGAACATATAAACAATTATTGATCAATTTTATAAAATTGTCCTTTAAAAGCATAAAAAATCTTTCAAAAAATTCCAAATTAACCAATAATATATATTTTTAAGTTTTGAATAACTATTAAATGATTAACTTAAATGATTATCTAAACAATAAATTTTGATAATGTATGGCCTTTCTCTAAGGTTCCACATGGCATTCATCTCTTTTTATTTTTTTCTTTTTTTATTTAATTATTTTATGTGTGGACCCGTAATCTAGAAGGCTTAGATTGGTGATGCTTGTAGCCTTATTGCAGGTAATTCCAACCCAATTGCAATGGCTGTCTCCAACCCACAAAGAACAGAGCAAAGTTTGAGTGGTGTTGTCAACTCTAGCTTTCCATTTTAGACCATTTCACTTTCTATGAAATATTCATATCAATTGAAAAAATGCAACTTCAATAGCAACAGATCTTTTACATTTAAATTAATTTTGTTGGATTTTTTTTATAAAAAAATTGCAACATAAAAAAATTTTAAAATATTGATATTTAAATTAAGTGAATTAAATTTTAATTTTTCTCATAAATATTGATTATTGGTATTTTTCTATTGTTTGTAATAAAAGAATATTCTAACTTAATTCATGCTTATTTTAATAAAAAGTATGGGTTATAAAATTTTCATGATAAATTTTTTTAAATGAAAATTATATGATACATCATTGAAAATTTTTAAACTCAATAAATGAGTTTATAAGATTAATACATATCATTAGGTCATAATTAAAAAATTAAGTACATAGACAAATTAATGAATTAAAAATTATCTAATATAATTTTTTAAAATTTTATAAACAAAATAAAAAAATTGACATGTATTTTATAATAATATATTTATAAAAATTAATAAATCTTTAAAAAACTCTATCATCTACATATATACAATAATTTAATTATTAAAAGAAGATACCAACCCTATAGACCATAAACCAACAGTCAAATTAATTTATAAATAACAATTCTTAGATATATAATTATATAAATTTTTATTCATTTAATTTGGTTCAAGCCTATCTTTTATTCAATATGGAGTCTTATCCAATTCTTTTGGCCTCTCATTTCTTACGTGTTCATGGTACTTAATTAAATTATAGGTGGGATGATATAAAGAGTCAGTCAACACTGAATAGAAAAGACTTAAATGAAATAAATGAATTATTTTTATTTTCATTCAAATAAAAAATTGAATTTTTATTAAATTTGGATAAGATTGACATCTCTAATGTACTGGAAATAATTTAGGATTCACTTGAATGGGTGATAAGATTAATTTTGGTGAGATTAAAATTAGTGATTAGATTGGATACTATATCAATGAGATTAAAATCAATTGTCAAGATATGTCTTTCCATGCAAACACGTGGTAGAAATGAGGTAAACTGTAATTAGAGGAGAAATCACCATTGAATTTATATGTAATAAAAAATTTAAATTATTTAACATTTATAAAATTAATAAATTATTTAAAAATCAGTAAATTATTTTTATGTCAAATAATAATTTTTTGATAAATAATTAAAACTAATAAAAATAATAATATCTCAAAGGATATTTTTTCATTAATTTTTTATTAATGATGTTGTTATCTATTTTTAGTTAAAATAATAATATAATATAATACTAAATTTTATATTTGGTTATTAATTATTTATATAATAATAAAATTTATAAAATAATAATTTTTAATTCATAATATAATAATAATTTTATTTATTTATAAGTTTATTATATAATAAAATTTTTCATTATATTAAATTAAAAAATTATTTCATAATTTATTAACTAAAAAAAGAGCATAAATGTCAAAAGTGTCAAAAGCTTACCACACCTAGGGGTGCAAATGATACATTAGTACTCGCAAGCTACTCGGGTTCGATTCGAAGAAAACTCAAATTTGGTTCGATTATTATCGAGTCGAGCTCGAGCTCGAATAGCTCGACTTATCAATTGAGTCGAATTCGAGTATTCTTATATCCGACTCGAGTAGCTCTCGAGCCTAATCGAGTTTTTATATTTAAATATATTTTTATTATTTTAATTAATAAAATATTTCGAGTCCGAGTTCGAGCATGAATAATCGTACTCTTGTCGAGTATACGAATCGAGCTTATTTTTACATATTAATCGAGCTTAATCAAGTGAGCTCGAGTAGCTCGAATTCGATCACGAATCGAGTGCGAGCTTGAAAAATAAAACTCGATCAAGCTCGAGCCGAGTATTGAGCTCCGAGTTGTGAGTCGAGCTCGAGCTTCTCACTATTCGGCTCGACTCAGCTCGATTACACCCCTAACCACACCCCTTTCCCATCAATGCAGTTTAAGTCTTCCACTGAAGCCACGTAAATATAATCAGATCATGCCTTTGTGATCCAATTAGCAAAACACAGTGCAATTTGTATAAAAAGTGCTTAAATGCATTAAACAGTGACACCAATTCGTTTTAAATGAGGTTTTTGATGAAATTTTGTAAGCAAAATTTGTGAATTTTTTATCAAAAATATTAAATAAAAACTAAAAATTAATTAATTTAAATTAATGAATTATAAAAATCGTGTTTCATAAATAAAATTGAACATTTAAAATAAAAGCATACAAGCATAAAATAAATAATTTTTTTAGAAGGCATTCGGTTTAAAAATAATTGACCTTAAATAAGGAGTTTTTTTTATAGTAAAATAAATTATTATGTTATGTGGTATCAACAAAAACAACAATAGCAACTGGATACAAAAATATATAGTATGAATTGTATGACTTAAAATTTTATAATAATATTGGTTAGAATTTTATAAATTATAACAATAATATGATTTATAATTGATTTTATGGCATATAAGATTATTATCAATTTCAACAAATGCAGAAATATACATAAGTAATTGTTGCCAATAGAAAGTCAAAGCAAAGTGCAACCTTACCACTATATATTTATTGAGTTTCAAGCTAGTAAAATTCTAGGTACCTAATTCTAACGCTATTTAACATAAATTTAATATAAGTTATCTTTAATGTACTGTGATCTATTCTAACTTTGAATAAAAAATCTCTCTTCATCATAGATTTTTTATTGCAAAAAAAAAAAAAAAAACCGATATTGATTTAGCCAAAGGATTAAAAATTTAAGGGGAGAAAAGTGAAAACATTAAAAATATGTAAACATGTTTTTTTTTAATATGTGTTTAATAAGAAATTTTGAAAAATAGATAAAAAATATTTTTATTTAATATTTGAAAAATATATCCTTTAATTTGTAAGCTAAATCAAGATATAACATGAAGTGAAAAAGTTAGAATTGAATTTATTTCATATAAGATTTGGAATTTTTATTCTTATGATATTTTGTTTAATATCTTGGAATCAAGTTATTTGATAATTAAAACGAAATTATAACTTTAAAATCTATATTGATTTTTAAAATATAAATAAATTCTGAAAATTTATAATCAAATTATTAATTTTAACAGTGACTTATTAGAAGTTCCACCAACACATTAAAAATGACAAATTTGGATGAACTTTTTAAAGTGAAATTTGAAAATTTCTTTACTAATAATTTAATAAAAATTTTAAATTGATAAACTACTAGTGTCCAAAAAAAAAAAAAAGAATGTAAACAAATATAAAAAATATCATTTATAATTCAATTTTAATCAATACTTATTCAACTATAAAAATGTCTATCTAAAAAATAAATCAAAATTTTTTCAAATTATTTTCAATTTTGCACATTCAATCTATGAAATAAA